ATTTATCTTTTTGTGACTGGCTTATTTCAATTAGCATGACATTTTCAGGTTCACCCATGTTGTAGCATGTGTCGGAATTACTTTCATTTTCAAGGCTGAATAATATTCCATTGTATATAGAGACCATATTTTGTTTATCCAGCTGGTGATGGGTTGCATCCACCTTTGGCTATTGTGAATAATGCTGCTATGAACGTGGGTGTACGAATGTCTCTTCATGTCCCTTTGTTCAGTTCTTTCGGATATACATATTCAGAAGTGGACATGATGGACCATATGGTAATTCTATGTTTCATTTTTTTGAGGATCGGCCATATTGTTTTGCAGAACGGCTGTACCATTTTACATTCCCACCAACAATAACTGCCTTTTAATACTTTATTTTCTATCCAAGCCCCCCAAATCATTCACCATTGGTTGACCGAGTCATTATTATCGATTGTGACTTCTATGTCCCGTTAGCGTGACAAAGTGCTGAGGACACAGTGGTGAAGACATCTGCCCTCATGGAGCCCACAAGCAATCAACGAATATACAATTGAAGCTATAATACATTTCGAGCTGTGCTATAAAAGGAAAGAACTGGCTTCTAGAAGGTGGACACAAATAGGTGAGACCTCATGTGGATGAGGAAATGCTCATTTTAGAAGTCTGTTCCCTGCAGAATAGAGCAGAGGTGGGACTTCGTGGAAAGAGAAAGTCTGAGTCTTCGCTGAGACCTACATTCTTTAACTCAGGGGTCCCCAACCCCAGGGCAGAGGTCCGGTCGTGGCCTGTTAGGGACCTGGCTGCACAGTAGGAGGTGAGGTGAGTGCTGACTGAGCGAAGCTTCGTGAGCGAAGCTTCATCTATATTTGCAGTGAAGCATCATCTGTATCTGGGCCAGTGAGCGAAGCTCCATCTGTATCTGCAGCCGCTCCCCAGTGCTAGCATCACCACCTCAGCTCCACCTCAGATCCTCAGGCATTAGATTCTCATGGGAGCACCGGTCCCTGGTGCCAAAAAGACTGGGGACTGCTGCTTTAACTAGACACCTATGGAACCCACACACGTAGCATGCATGGGGTAGCACTCACAAGGTGCTGCTGCCGAGATCTGAGCCTGTTTTCCCATCTGCGAAACGGGAATAAGAAAAGATTTTAATGAGGATGAAATAGGATTATATATCCCAAATAGCCTTATTAACAGTAAAGCCTCGGTATTCAGAGACTGCTTGCTGAAAGATATGACAAGAAGTGAATTTCCTGACAGCTTCTGCCTGGGGCGAAGAGTAAGAATGATTGATTATATAAACCCAGTCGCCTAACAAAAGGCATTAAAAAGTGTAATACAGTCCTTTACTCGGATTTTTTTCCCCCGAACTCCAGTCCACCTAGGTCTTTGGTTGTTTAAGGAATATTAAATAATCCAACAACAAAAAAATGACCTTTGATTAGGGATTCATTTTCTACCCCTCCACTTACCCATTTGCCCCTCTGCTTGGGTCTGGGGTCCATCATCCCCACTTACTAGCTCCTGGTTGCAGCTCATTCTTTGGAGGTAGAATCAAAATATGTACTGTATCTTTTTTTTTCTTGATATGATAGACGAAAGAGTTTCAATGGAGGAAAATTCCTCTTTGACTTTATCTGTAGAATGTATTTCTACAGACCCTGGATTTTCTAGGACAGGCTTCATTCACAAGTTTCCTTTGACCACACTTTTTTCTCGTTTAGCTGTCTTGTCTGCATTCAGCTCCTGTTGGATGACAGGTATTGGGGTGTGACAGGAAGACTTTTGCAGTCAGGCTTAGAGATTGACCACCAGCTCAGCCACTTCCTCATTAAGTCATTTCATGTCTTTGAGCCTCAGTTTCCTAATTTTCAAAAGGGACAAAACAATGCCGATTTCCCTGGGAAGATCAAACAAGAAAGTGTCTGTGGCACACACCGAGGGCTCCATCAATTATTATTATTATCACTTGGAGACTCCAGTGGCACAATTGTATCACCTTGTGCTAAGCAGAAACGGCAAACATGTTTTAACTATCACCAACTACAATGTATAAATATAAATGACTCTTTTAAATGAAGTTTTCTTTAAACCACTAATATTTCTTGAGCTATAAACCTACTGTACATTCATGTAGATTGGTAAATCACATCTCCTGCCACACTATCTTACACAGAAAAGGTGTTGTGAATATAAGCAGATTAGTCAGTAAGGCAGGTGTTAATTGGCCTCTTTACTCAGTATGAGAATTCTAAAGGCTTCCATGTATTATTAAGCCAAATTCTTGCCTTTCCAACTTTGGCTGTTGACTGTAATTCTATCTTTTTTGCTTTCGGGGACTTACATAAAACAATGCAAAACATTTCCGAACAGAAACTCAAAAAAATGATAGACGTTAACCTTCCTTTCTTCAGTAAGTTTTTTTGTTGATGGCCATGAATATCAAAAAGATGATCAAGCTGATTTATTTTCTGCCTTGGGTTGTCCAAATACTCAGGTGAACGTACTTAGGAGCCCAGCATTCTATTTTGCTAGCATTCCTGATGAGCTTACAAGAAACTCTTACAAGCTGAGAACCTGATGAATAACTAATCAAGAAAATGCAATGCACAAATGTGGGGGAAGGGTTTCTAGTCGCAGTCCCTTACAATGAAGTACACGCCAAATAAAGAGGAATGCCTGGAGGCGTCATGGAAACACCCATCAAAGACAAGGCTGAAGATCTCACATTTATTCAACATTTATTGAGCACTTACATTGTGGAGGCAGTGGAATTAAATACAAAGAGATTTGCCATAGAGCTGTATGTGCATATACTATAATACACACAATTTTGGAAAATTCCAAATATTCCCCTATTGGGATGATGCAATCACTTTGAACTATATACTTTCTTCCCCCCTATAATAAAGTCTATTGCAAAAAAAAAAAAATTTTTTTTCCCAATAATGATTAGTAATAGCCAGTGCTCGCTGTGCTTCCATGGGCGATGTACCAGCATTCTTAGTATTAAAGTATGATGTTATCAGACTTTTATGGCTGGTGGGGGAAAAATGCAACTGCTTGCTGTTTTGATATTATCTGACAACTTGCTTTTAATCTGCCCTATGTTTAGTATCCTGTCATTTTAAAGTTAAAAAAAAATCAAGGTCACATTGTAACAACAAACTAATTCTTGTGACTATGAATTCTGCGGGCTACTTAGCATTTCAAGTAGATAAATCATGATGAGGGAATAATCCAAAATTTTGGAAATTCGAAGGCCACTTTAACAGTTGAAGTGGGGCGGAAAGGTCGAATACACCACCATTTTCACAATTCGGGCATCACGAAATTCAGTTTAAACATTTAAAAAAGAAGATGGGAACGGACACGGGTCACATCTCAGTTTTTTGTTTTTTTGTTTTTGGTAGATATAAATGTTGAGCCAAACGATGCCGAAAAGGCCTTCCGAGTTTGCGCGCATATCAACCTTACAAAAGCAATTTAGGAGCACACTAGCAAATACACTCATTCCAAAACTTTTATGTAAGTCCCTAATTTTTAATAAGCACACAATTATTTATCTTTTTCTCTCCAAGGACTCAGCTGGAGCGAAGGATGGGGTCCCCCCCGGATTTCGTCCACGATCCAGCCAATCTGAGCCCGGATGCTAATTAGTTGCGCTCCCCCAACGAACACGCCTTTGTCGCATGTAGGGCCGGACTACAAAGCCCAGAATGCCTCGCCCCTCCCTGATCAATGAGGGCTTATTTAAATGATCTCTGAGGTCTTGGACCCAGGCCAATCAGCTGTCAGGGCTCATGATAAATCGCAATGCATTATTGATAATAATAATTACTGGGACATGCGCGTTCCGGCCGAAGGGGGGTAAAATTTCCCAACTCCAGGAATTTGTGGCGGAGTGGGCAAATAACCGCGGCTCTCCCGGCGCCCCGATGCTCGCACCATGTCGAGGCGCAAGCAGGCGAAACCCCAACACATCAACTCGGAGGAGGACCAGGGCGAGCAGCAGCCGCAGCAGCCGGCCGCGGAGTTTGCAGATGCGGCGCCGGCGGCGGGGGAGCCGGGTGAGTGGGGCCGGGGGCGCACGCCCGGGGCGCGCAGTTTCCCGCATGTTCGCGGGCTCTGGGGAGCTAGCGGCTTCCAGCGCAGATTATGGAACCGAGATCTGGGGCTCAGTTCCAGAGAAGAGGGGCAGCCTCACCCCCCTCCTTCGCCCTTGTTAATTTTATTTTTATCGCTTCCCCTCACTTTTGTAAGTCTCCCCCCCCCCAAGATCTCTCCCTTCTTATTGTAACGCTGACCCCCACCCTCTCCTCTGTCCCTTTTTCCTTAAAGGTTCCCTTCTCCTTGTCCTCTGCCCTTTTCTTAATTGGTTCCACTCCCCTCACTAGTAACCTCCCCCCCACTTGTAACTTACGTTCCCCTCCTCCCTCCCTGGCGCCGCTTTTAAAAGAAAGACCCCGGGGTCCCCACCCTTTCAACCTCACCCCTTGGGGGCTTTTCTCGGAGGCTCGAGTAGCGGCACACCCTGGGAAGACCCCCTGGGGGAGGGCGATCTGTTGCACGCGCCCCTCCCGGGCCAAGGGGGGAGGGGGCGCGACCTCTTCCCACCCCCAGGAGCTGGGGTGCGGGCCACCCGCGCTGCGGAGGGGACTGGAGGGCCCAAAGAGGTGGGGGAGAAGGGCCTCATATTTCTCTCTTTTTGAATTTGGTTTTTGGTTTTCGCTTTTTCTCCCCCCCGGGCTACGCCGCCTGCCGATCTTCGCCCTAACCTTTCGGGGCCTGACCTCCAGCCATCTTTGATTTCCGACTTCCTAAAATAACCGCGGCGAGCCGGAGGGGTGCGGGGCCCCCAGGGGCCGGGGTCGCGGGCGCAGGGCAGTCCCGCTGGGGCTGCACCGGCCCGGCGTTTTGCGTGGCTTTTCCGCGGCGCCCTGCTTTCCACAAGCGCGCCCGGGGGCCAGAGGGGACAAGTGGGACCAGAGCTGGGCGATCGCGGCCAGGGCCAGCTCCCGCGGCTGACCCGGCCCACGCTTCCGCGCCCAGCGGCCCCCGGGTGGGGAGGAGTTCAGGACCCGCGTCCGGCCGGGAGCGGCAAGGCCAACTCCCCTCCTGGTCGCTTAACCGAGGAGGTATTAGGAGCGAGTGGATTTCCCACTATCTCCTGTCCGTCCTGGCCCGCCAAATTGTCGCCTGATAAGTTTTTAGCGTGGGGGGAGGGGGCGCTTTGAACCTCCTGGGCCTTGTTGGTCACTTCCCTCCTCTCCCCGCCTGCTTTCTAATTCCTCAGCCATTGACGGGGGAGCGAGCGGCCGCCCCGGACACTCGGAGGCAGAACTCGGATGGGAAGACGGTCGCTCCTTTTTGAATACTGTCCTCGTTTTCGGGGAGGGCATCCATACACTTCCCAAGTTTACAGTACGTTAATATAAATCCCTACTGCCCCCCAAGGAACATTTGCGAGGGCAACTTAAAAGAGATCGGCTTGACCGAGGGGGCGGGCTGTGCGCATTCGGGGTGGCGGACGGTCGGGGAAGCGCACTCTCGAGGTCCCGGGAGGGTGGACTCTTTGTGCCTGTGGGGGTGGGGGGTGGAGGGAGCGTGGAGAGGCTTCGTCGCCTGGCCCACCTGGAACAAAAGGGTTAACCCTCCGCCGGCTCGCTTCCTCCCGAGAGGAGGGGCGAGCTCCTGGCTCTGACCCCTCCCCTGGTCCTGCTCTGACCTCCCCTTCCCCCTTCATTTTGGGTGGGCGCGCGCAAGTGGGACTTTTGGTGGTATTTGGCACCTTTAAGGGAACTTGTGACGGGGGCGTGGAGGGGGGGGCTTCTTAAATTAACGCTGGCTGGAGTTTGAGATCAGTTAACCCGAGCCGGTTAGGGTCTCAGGCCTGGTTGCTCTCCTTCCAGTATTTGGGGGTGGGGGGTTCGCTATTGATCGCTTGGGTTGGAGCGGACAGCCGCGTTGTGCGCGGGCGCCCCCTGGAGGCCCAGCCTGGAGCCGCGTGCTTTGCCGAGAGGCGGGTCCGCGCGCAGGTACCGGCTCACACCTGATGGAACGGAACGGGTTGTGGTGGGTAATGGACAGCCGTGGCTCGGGCCAAACGCGGGCGCCGCTGGGACTCGAGCCAGTCGCTTTCGCGACCTCTGGCTGTGCCCGGTATAAATCTGCCAAGTCTTTGGAATTCTTGGAAAGAATTCCTTGATCCTAGAGTGTGTCTATTGAGTCCCCAGCACCAAGGGACAGAAGGTAGTTTTCTCAAGCAGTTACCTTTTAATGGCTGCATTTTGCATGTGAGCAGTCTGTATCTGTACAATACAGATAGGGGACAGGTCGATGTGTAGATACGTATACTTTTTTAAAAAGTTAAGATTGGGCCAGTCTTATTTTGAAAAGCCAACTGGAGATCCACTTGTAAAGAATGCAGTTTTTGAGGGAGGAAAATGAAGTTTGGCAATCACCAGATCAAAAAATCTGCAGGTGGTCCGGGGACTCGAGCGCCGGACGGGAAAATTAGCATTTTCTCAAAAGAGTTTCAAATGCCCTTTGTGCTAAACTGGATTACAACTTTCAACGATTAAGATTCCCAAGTTTCAAATAACTGCCGACCCCCAGTTTCTAAACTGAAATGACCTACATTGGCTGTAAGGATTCTGAGAAAAGGGCACTTGGGAGCCCCCATTTTAAATGAAGGAGAGGGAAATTTGTTTACAGCGGCTTTAACGTTGCAGGCTGACTTTCAGTGTTTCGATCTGCATCCGAGAGAGGGAGAGGGGCTAAAACGCCCACGGCCCCTTTTGTTCCGTTAAAAAGAAGTTGCACAAACCAACGATAGTTGTTCATTCGAGCCTCTGCTAGCTTCCTCACCGGTAGGGAGTTGGGAACCCATCCTGGGAGGCAGGAGATAGTTTTGGTACTTCCTCTTTTTTAATGAGGTTAGGTTTTTATTTGTAAGGTTTTGGAATGAAGTGCATTCCAGTCTGGTTGTATGGCTGAGAGCAGTGTCACCTTGAGACCTGTGTGAGTTTCTTTGAGCCTTTGGCTTCCTCTCTTTCCAGTGGAGATAAAGTGTCCTGTGAGATAGTTTCAATTCTAGAAGACTCACTGTGTGCTGGGATTGTGATTGGGATATTGTTCAAAATAACTGTTTCTGTTTTATTTACCGTGGCAAGATAGCACCGAGCTGCCAGTTGAGAATATTCCGCCGTTTCCTGTGCAGCCTACCGTATACCAGACACCAGGCTGGGGACCTTAAATATGTTATCTTTTAATTCTCATTTCAGAGTAAGCTGCAGCTCTGGGTCGAAATGGCTTGCTGGTGTTTGCCATGTCCTGATGGATGGGGTAGCCTTTCTCTGAATCGGACGGGCTGTGTTGGTTGTGGTCTTGGAGAAATTGGTTACGGGGTGGCATTTTCTGTCAGTTCCCTCCGATTCAGTGTGTGTTTGGCTGGTTGAGCTTGATGATCTCTCTTAATTTTTGAGATGTGCCTTTGGAAGCTTTTCTGTTAAGAGATCCCTGGGAACCACGTTAGAAATAAGGCAGAGTTACTGTTTGTGGAGGAGTTCAAGAAGTTCCCTTTTTCCGTCACCCTTAACTTATGGTACTTTATTTTTAAAAAGCATCTACAGTTTAAAAGCCTCTAACTCCAGATAAGAACTACATGTCTAGTCACCGCTATCCGTCCTCCCCCCCACCCTTAATTTAGAGCGTGTCAGGCTTTGTTCTAGGGCTTCCTGGAGGAGGCAGCAAAAGCTCCTGACTGCCTGGAGTTTACAAAGTTTGAGCTCCAGCTGAGGCAAAAGGGAACATATCTCTAACATAAAGCAGTGGAACTCACACACCGTAGCAACTGTCTAGGCTTCTTTGATTCTTTCGGGTTTTTTTCCTCCTGAATTTTGATCCGAGACTGATTGGAACACATTTTATTTTTCTTTTTAGCTCTTCATTTCACGGAAACTTAATTTACAGCTCTAATTTGCCATCTACGAATTGAGTTAAAGTCTCGTTACTTAAGTGTTTCTCGGATCGCGGAATCCAGATGTAAAATTAAACTGGTAAAAGGGCGCTTTCTTTCAACTGGTTCACTACCCAAGGAGTTCTCAATTTCCTTCTGTTTTTTGGTAATTATCCTGGAGAGGGGGTGGTGGGAGGGTAGGAGATATTGTGTACTTTAGATAATCTACTCATTGTACTTCTTTTAATATAGGAATGGGGGGGGGAGATAAGCTTGAGTCCTAATGCTTTTCTCAAGATAAACTTTTTTAAAAGCATTTCTCATCTCCAGAATTTGATTGGCCTCCAAGTAGATGAAGCTTTTCTTCCTATACAATGGAAAGAGTATTTTCTATCCATTTGGCAGTGATTGAATCTAAGACCCCTGCTGGGTTTACTGCATTCTTCCAACTTATTGGATAACTAGATGCTGGGAGATAACATTCCTAAAATTCGGAGTGGGGGTGGGGTGGAAGCATGGAAGGACTAGTTGCTGCGTAATCCCTCTGAACTTTGCTTTTTCTTTTGAGGAAGGGCTCGCTTACGCATACCCAGCGATTGTTCATAACAGAGTCCTCTCACTCTTTGGCAAATACGGTTTCAGTATTTGCCAACGGTGGTCTGGATGTCGAAGTACTTTTTTACTGCACAAGCAAACAGAGCTCCTGCTGTTTTAAGACTCAAGTGGGATGTGGCTGGTATGGCTTGGAGGCTACAGAAGAGGCCAGCCTGTGTATACAGTGAAGGCAAGCTGGTATTCAGGTTGTAAATCACTCTTGGGAACTGTTAGATCCTTCTAGAGCAGGGGCCTTAACCTTTTTTGTGCCATAGACCCCTTCTCAAGAGAATGTATTTAAATGCATAAAATGAAGGAATAGAAACACCGAAGAAATAAATTACATTGAGATACAGTTATCAAAAACGAATACATTTGTGGTAACGTGACATGTGCTTTGTGAACGCAGTAAGATCCAGGTGACCTGGAATTTCCAGTAATGCAACAAACTGCATTTAACACCGTGTGAAAATACCTGCTTTCCGCTGGTGACAAACGCACAGGTTCTGTGAATGACCACAGGTGGCATGTTCCCTACATTCAAAATAAAAAAGTAATGTTAAATTTTAGTTCAGGTTAGTAAAAGTGAAGATTTTTTTTTTCACCCTATCTATTTTCATGAACCCCCCAGTTTAAGAATGCCTGCTTTAGAGTTAGCATTTTCAATGAAGGAATATCGTCCCCAAGGGAGTGGAAATTGGTTTTGGGGAAAGACAAAAGCATTTATTGATACTACAGTGGTTTGTGTCCTTCCAAAGGATTGCAGTGTGTGAGTAGATATACGATATATTCGTGGCATTAAAATTTCATGATAGTCGGTGGGGGGGGGTGATTAGGAAAAAGTGCTTTTTTAAAAGCCTCCGTTGGAGGGATGACACGAAACGTTTGCGAAATTCTGCTCTAGAAGAAACAATGATAATTAGGCCTTTCATTTTACCGCCCTTCTTAAAAATAGTATTTCAGAAAAACAATCCCTGCTCTTTGTGTTCTGGTTTACCAGTATGTCTGTCACCTTGAGCCACTTCATGATTTCTGAGGCTCAGTTTCCACATTTGCATATTGGGAAGAAAGACTTGTTTGATTATGTCAGTAGGAAGATAAATGAATTAAGGTATAAGAGTCTGAAGTGTGTTTTGTCGTTTAAAGGAGGGTGATGGTTTTGCTTTGGGTCCTTAAAAAGTGGAATGGGCATTTTTGCATGGGCTTTCTTGGAGATTTCCAGAAGTAGAATGGCTGAGACAAAAGGTATAAACGTGCTAATTAAAAAGAAACCATAGTACAAAAAGTGGGTGTATAGTTACAGTGTTTCATCAGCCCCAACCCCCAGGCTCAGGCTCCAAGAGCTAGAGACCAGCCAGTTTCTCTTATTTTAGAGGTTTTCCATGTACATATTTACCTCTTTGTTTCAGTACAAATGGAAGCACATTATGTATGCATCCTGTTCTCACCTCTTTTTTTTTTTTCCTCTTGAAATAGATCTTGGGCGGTTGTCCTGCAGAGCAGCTCATATAAGGTAGATCTTTATTTTTGTAGGCTACAAAGTAATCATCTTTCTTTCGTACCCTAATGTACTACACCAGAACCTTACTGTGATACACCAAAGTGCATCCATATTTGTTTTTTGGTGTTTTTTTTTTTGCTGTTTGTTAATATGAGAAATGTATCTTTGTATTACAGAAAGTAAATTTCTAACAAGGGCCTTGCTGGATCAAAGGAGGACTGCACTAAAATTATGAAGATTGTCCTAGGAAGAAGCCGTATCTATTTCGATATACCTACTAATAGTGTGTATTTCCCTCCTAAGACCAACTTTTTAAAAAGTTACTTTTTTTTGAAGTTCTTGACACATTATTTCCAGAATTGCTTTTCCAGGAAGATGTTTGCCACCTCCCCCCCACACCCACCACCACCACAACCAAGGGCTATATTTCAAGTTTTGGGAAGGTGTACTCATAGATGCTATCAGTAAGGGTTCTGGGAATTGACCAATATTTTTAACTTGATTCTTGAAATAAGACTGGAGCAGTGTGTCGGGGGCCCTAAGGAATGAGGTCCTCCTTGTTGACTTCAGCCTGGAAGTAATAGGGGGCGGCACCATATCCCAACTTTTAAAACGACTTCTGGGCCTCCCAGAAGGGTGATAATGTGTTTTCTAGCCCTGCCCCCACCCCCAACCTGACTCTTCGGTCTTTCCTGTCCCCCCTGGGGTTTCTGCAAGAGGGGAGATGTTGCAGGCTCCACAGAGGAAACATTATGATAGGAAGTGTAAGAACAAAGGAAGAATTCAAAGAGGGGGCGGGGCTGGGCGCCCATGCCTGGGTTTTAATGAGTATAGTATGTAAGGGGTACCCAGAGGTGCCTATTCATAATGCTGGAGGCTGTAAGCTGCCTTTTCACCAAGGACATCCCTAGCCCCAGCCTCGCACACAGTAGGAGGTGAGGAAGATCGTTAAATGAGTCAGTCACTCAGTGACTGCTGTCTTAGCCGGCAAGTCCTGGTTGCCGAGCTGTAACCTTTAGAAATAGAAAAGGTGGGGAAATTAATGTTCACGGGATGCCTATGGTCTCTGCACTTTCCTCAGATCCTAGGGTGGCGCCAGGCACGTGGTAGGTGCTCAAACGTGGGAAATGAGTCACGCAACCCAGCAGCTACCTTATGTAGGTTGTCATGATATTCTGCAGGCTTAACAGAAATTCTGAGGGGTAGGTAAGCCCACCACATCAGACCTCCTATTGACAGACAAGCACTGGATTGGCCGTAACTCGTTTTCTTGACCACGGCAGGCCAGACCTTGAAAAAACTCCGTGTTTATTACCCATTGTGAAACTGGGTAAGTCAATCTGTTAAGGCCATGTATGCTATATAAATCTAAAAGAGGCACTTTTTCAAAATCGGAAATCTGTTGATCTCCTCAAGAGACGTATACTTGGTTCCAAGATGAACCCCTCCCCCAAACTGTTGGTGGAGTTCTCAATAAAAACCCATGGTTTTAGGAAAGGTAATCACCCAAGAAGGAGTAGAGGGGTAAATGTGTTAGTTTGCTTTAAAAAGTGAGAATTTATTTAAGAGTGATGCATGGTCCTTCCTGGCCTTTCTTCCATGTGTTTGTACATTTCAGACGGGTTCTGATTTTAACAGAAATGGTCACATTTTACAATACCGTTCCGCAGTCAGTTTCACCTCGATTTCTGTCTTGATGTCGGGGCATGCGGAAGTTCTGTACGGTTTTGCATCGAGAGTAGTGAACCAAAACTTACCTTTTTCGCTGCCGTAAACATTTCCGTAAGAATCACCGTCCTTCTGACATGGATCTTAGGATACTTGAGGGAATTAATAAGAAATGGTCACATTTTACAATACCGTTCCGCAGTCAGTTTCACCTCGATTTCTGTCTTGATGTCGGGGCATGCGGAAGTTCTGTACGGTTTTGCATCGAGAGTAGTGAACCAAAACTTACCTTTTTCGCTGCCGTAAACATTTCCGTAAGAATCACCGTCCTTCTGACATGGATCTTAGGATACTTGAGGGAATGTCTGTGTGATTTAGACCCGCATCCCCAGAGTTCCTGGGTCTGAGGCGTGCCCACGTGACTTCTTCGTGGCGGAGCGCACATAGGATGGGATAGCCAGGAAATGAGAACAACCGAGCAGTTAGACTGGCCACCCAGAACCCAGGCATCTGGCTAATAGAGGCCGGAGACGGGCATTACAATGTGCGGGCTGGCATTAGCTGTGGAGAGGATGGTACCTAGCTTACAAAAGAAGTCCACGGACCAGTCACGTGTAGGAACGTGACTTTGCCCAGGATAGGACTTCACGTGCTTCATTTCGGAGAGCTATAGCTAGCGGGAGTTGCAGACGGACGGGAGGAGTGAAACCCATCGTCTCCTTCTGTACATTCGTGGGCTTCTCTCTTTGTAGAATGGCTCATGGAGCCTTTGAACGTCCTAACTTAAGACATTTCTATGGGTTTTTCATATTCCGGAAGGTCAGCGAAGTCTTTTCTGTGGTCATGCCTGTCTTAGACTTGCGATTTTTTTTTTTTTTATTTTTTCAATGTGTTTTCTCCTCTATGAAGATGATTCCTGGGAATATCTGCTTGGCCTTCCCTCCATTTAAATCAACCCAGTGTCCTGCCATTCTCCAACGTTTTTAAGTAAATTTAGTACCATCGTAATGGTTGGCACTTTTAAACTTTCATTATGCACACCCATTACATTATTTGAACGAGTGATTTACTGCAACTGTGCTTTCCATGAACCCAGGATGGAGGTCAGCAGCCGGGTTTGAGCAGATTCCCAGCATTTGTATTGACCGCGTGAAAGCCATTTGCTGTCGGAAGCTAGTTCTGAGTGGGGTGCAGATCTCTGAGGGGATTATTTTGTATGAGTTTCCCAGGGCTGTCCTAAGCCATGACCACAAACCGAATGGCCGAAAAACAACAGAAATTTATTCTCCCACAGTGTTGGAGACTGGGAGTATGAAGTCAAGGTGTCGGCAGGGTCAGCTCCTTTGGAGGTTCCGAGGGGGCAGGTCTCTTCCACACCTGCTTCTTACCTTCTGTCGGTTCCTACCTTCCTCCCCTCTCTGAGCCGCAGCCCTTGGTTTATAGCCTCGGGAACCCCTTCTCATGGCCTTATTCTGTGTCTCAGATCTCCCCTTCCCTTACGGACTCTGGGCATTGGGTTTGGGACCCACTATAGCCACATGTGCAAGGGTCCTGATCCATGGGCGCATGGGCGCTGCAGTTAGTACTCAGACCTATTTTGGGAGGATGTTAGTTGACTCACCTGCACACGTGGTTGGTTCATTCAGACTCTGGAGGCCTCGTTCCCTTACACGGTTTCTGCCTGTTGGGCACAGATCGTGAAGACTTGCTCCGTTGTGGTTGTGGTCGGTTCTTCCCGAGAAATGGCCCCTCGTCCTTCCTGGGGCAGAGTCGTGAGCTCTTCCTTTCTGGTTTGCAGGTGCTCCAGTGAACCACCCGGGGGCGGCGGATGACATGAGTGGGGACCGAGCGACGGTCAAGAGGCCTCGTCGGGAGGAGACTCACATCTGCGAGAAATGCTGTGCAGAGTGCTTCAGCTTCTCCGAGTTCTTAGAACATAAGAAAAATTGCACTAAGATCCCACCCGTCCTCATCATGAATGACAGCGAGGGGCCGGTGCCTCCCACAGACTTCTCCGGGGCTGTGCTGAGCCACCAGCCGCACAGTCCAAGCAGTAAGGACGGTCACAGGGTGGACGGCTGCAGCTCGGGAGACATGAAGGAGAAGCCAGGGCCGGAGTCTGTCCTGTACCTGAAGACGGAGACCGCCCTGCCGCCCACACCTCAGGACTTAAGCTATCTACCCAAAGGCAAAGTGGCCAACACTAACGTCACTCTGCAAGCACTACGAGGCACCAAGGTGGCGGTGAATCAGCGGAGCGCGGACGCGCTGCCGGCCCCCTTGCCCGGGGCCAACAGCATCCCGTGGGTCCTGGAGCAGATTCTGTGTCTGCAGCAGCAGCAGCTGCAGCAGCTCCAGCTCACGGAGCAGATCCGCATCCAGGTGAACATGTGGGCCTCGCACGCCCTCCACTCGGGCATGGCGGGAGCTGACACCCTGAAGACGCTGGGCAGCCACATGTCCCAGCAAGTGTCCGCGGCCGTCGCTCTGCTCAGCCAGAAAGCGGGGAGCCAAGGTCTGTCCCTGGACGCCTTGAAACAAGCCAAGCTACCTCACGCAAGCATCCCTTCCGCCACCAGCTCTGTGTCCCCGGGGCTGGTGTCCTTCGCCCTGAGGCCGGATGGGTCCAGGGTGCTCCCAAGCCGCCTCCCCGGTGCTTTGCTACCTCAGGCCCCCGGCTCTGTGCTCTTCCAGAGTCCTTTCTCCACTGTGGCGTTTGACCCGTCCAAGAAAGGGAAGGGGAAGCCCCCCAACGTCTCCCCGGTGGATGTCAAACCCAAAGACGAGGCCGCCCTCTACCGGCACAAGTGTAAGTACTGCAGCAAGGTTTTTGGGACCGATAGCTCCTTGCAGATCCACCTCCGCTCTCATACCGGAGAGAGACCCTTCGTGTGCTCTGTCTGTGGCCACCGGTTCACCACCAAGGGCAACCTCAAGGTGCACTTTCATCGACACCCCCAGGTGAAGGCAAACCCCCAGCTGTTTGCTGAGTTCCACGACAGAATGGCTGCAGGCGATGGCCTCCCCTACGCCCTCTCCGTGCCTGTCCCCATAGATGAATGCAGTCTCTCCTTAGAAAGCAAACCTGTTCTGGTAACAGGGAACCCCCGTGCAGGCCTACCTCAGAATCTCTCTTCGGGGACTAACCCCAAGGACCTCATGGGGGGCCCGCTGCCCAGCGACCTGCAGCCCGGGCCTTCTCCAGAAAGTGAGGATGGAGCTCTCCTCTCTGGGGTGGGGCCAAACCATAACTCCCCCAGGGTTGGTGGCTTCCAGGGGAGAGGGACACCCGAGCCAGGGTCAGAGACCCTGAAGTTACAGCAGCTGGTGGAGAACATTGACAAGGCCACCACCGACCCCAACGAGTGTCTCATTTGCCACCGCGTCCTAAGCTGCCAAAGCTCCCTCAAAATGCATTACCGCACCCACACCGGCGAGAGACCGTTCCGCTGTAAGATCTGTGACCGAGCCTTCTCCACCAAAGGCAACCTGAAGACACATTTCGGGGTCCACCGAACCAACACGTCCATAAAGACGCAACATTCGTGCCCCATCTGCCAGAAGAAGTTTACCAACGCCGTCATGCTGCAGCAGCACATCCGGATGCACATGGGCGGTCAGATTCCTAACACACCCCTGCCGGATAACCCCTGTGACTTTGCAGGTCCCGAGCCGGTGATGGTCGGTGAGAACTGCAGCGCAGGTGCCGTCTGTCACGACGATGTCATCGAAAGCATCGACGTCGACGAAGTCGGCTCCCAGGAGGCCCCTAGCAGCGCCTCGAAGGCCCCCATGCCTCTTCCCAACATCTACGCGGCGTCCCCGGCCCTGGGTTTCGCCGCGATGGCTCCCCTAGACGCCCCGGGGAAGGTGGGGCCTGCCCCTCTTGTCCTGCAGCGGCAGAGCAGCAGAGAAAACGGCTCCGTGGAGAGCGATGCCTTGACCAACGACTCGTCATCCTCAGCGATGGGGGACCAGGAGTATCAGAGCCGAAGCCCAGACGTCCTGGAGACCGCGTCCTTCCACGCAGTCTCCCCGGCCAATAGCCAAGCAGAAAGTTTCAGGTCCAAGTCTCCCGATGCTGGTGGCAGAGCAGACGGCGTGGAGATCAGCCGCACTGAGATGGAAGGTGACGGAGCTTTGGATTTAACTTACGTCCGTTTTGGGCACAAGGTCATCCCAAAGGAACCTGGGTTGAACTTTGCAAACGGAGAGTATGATATACGTGAAGCAGCTTCTCTGTCTGTAGGGCAGTTAGCCTTTCTGTGCTTCTGGGTGGAGGGAGATAATAACGTTCTCCATCCTAGTGGCGACATGCTTTATTTATGACGGGCGATTCAAGTTGGTTGTGGACAGCGTAAGCGTGCTTCTTTGTTGACTCTTTATTTTTGTGTTTGAACCCTATGGGGGTATACAGGTAATTTTAAAGAACAGAGTTTTGAGAAAGTGGGCACTGGTTTGTTTGTTTGTTTTTTTTGCCATTGACATAAACCATACTTTTTTGATGCTGAGGTCCCACTCCCTAATGTAAAGTTCACAAGTGAATCACTCTCGAGGCGTGAAAAAGAATCTAACCCATTGGAAACTCACATATGAGTTGTAGGGTGCCCACTGATGCCATTAATGGTACAGTGGGGGACCAGCTGCATTGTAGCATCCGAGAAGGATGGCGTCTGGGCATGCTTCAAAGGTCACTGTAGGAACTTGAACTTGGATGCGTGTGTTTACGGGTTGCCCATCCATTTACGCCAAAGTGGTACATTTCCCTAAGTGTTCGAGTTTATTCTCTGTGCAGGTGAACAAGTCAGAGGGAAGAACCTCCAAGGTATACGTTTCCCAAAAGCCTTTTCCAGGCTCTCAAACTGTGGGCAGTCGTTTGCAAAGCTCTTCTTTTTGGCTTGAAGAGCGAGAGAATGTGGGATGACAAAGGTCTGGGATTTTTTTCTCTGCCTGCCAGGTCGGAGCAGTCTCCCATCAGCGTTCGTCCGAGCCCAGCCAGCCTACGTCAAAGTCGAAGTTCCCGGTGCGTTCGGACCCGCGACCATGTCGCCGGGCATGACGCCTTTGTTGGCGGCCCAGCCACGCCGACAGGCCAAGCAACACGGCTGCACGCGGTGCGGGAAGAACTTCTCGTCGGCAAGCGCCCTTCAGATTCACGAGCGGACTCACACCGGGGAGAAGCCTTTCGTGTGTAACATATGCGGGCGAGCCTTCACCACCAAAGGCAACTTGAAGGTGAGTTTCCTTAGGGTTTCGGCAGGGATGGGGCTAGGTGTCGAGCAGCATCTCTTGAATTGGAAGGTGTTTCACATCATGCCTGGAGCGTCATGATATAGTGATGAAGAGCAAGTCACTTCTGAGCCCGACGAGATAGCTTGTTCGCTTCGAAGACAGTCGGCGAAGAGGAAATGAGGCTGCCTGGGAAACCACGCAGTGTCTGTCACAGTCTTTGGCTTTTTTTTAAAGAAGCTGGAAGAGTCCGAAGCCAGACTGGAAAAGGGGTTGCAGAAAGGAGGCCGGGATTAAGAAGTAGTTAGGTAGTAAGACCATTTTTTTTGTTTGTTTCTCCCAAGAGAACAGATACCTGGATTTTTTACATAAGAAATCTAACTCGTAAATGTGAATTGTGTTAAAATACTGTTTGAGTAGCACCAACCGCATGCGCAGACTGATTGTGGCTCACCAACATGCGGTCACATCTGTTTGGGTGGAAATCTTTGTCCCTCTTCCCACAGGTCCACTACATGACACATGGCGCCAACAACAGCTCTGCACGCCGTGGGAGGAAGCTGGCCATCGAGAACACCATGGCCCTGTTAGGAACGGATGGAAAGAGGGTCTCCGAGATGTTTCCCAAGGAAATCATGGCCCCTTCAGTGAACGTGGACCCTGTCGTGTGGAGCCAGTACTCCACCATGCTCAACGGCGGCCTGGCCATGAAGACCAACGAGATCTCGGTGATCCAGGGCGGAGGCATTCCCACGCTCCCTGTGTCCCTGGGGGCCAGCTCTGTCGCCAGCAGCACCGTTGTCTCCAAGATGGATGGCTCCCAGTCTGCCATCAGTGCCGACGGGGAAGAGCCGGGCGCTGCCGACGGCGTCCCCAAACACCAGCTCCCTCACTTCTTGGAAGAAAACAAGATCGCGGTCAGCTAAGCCAAAAGGGAGCCCACACTGAAGGAGAAAGGCAGAGTGACCGCTCTAGAACTGGACCCTTTTCCTCGGTTTGTTTTTTAAAGAACCCATCTCCTCCTGTTTGTTTTTTGACTGATGTGCAAATGATGTTTACAGTCGTGACCACAACCTCAGGCAAGTCCTACAATCACGATGTTGCGATGCTGCTTTGCAAAAAAAAAGACAAAAAAAAAATTCATACAGACTAGTTTTTTTTTTTTTTTTTAAATTTTGGAAAGAAGCGGGTCTTGCAAAGTAGCTTTGTTACTTGCGACAAACTATACGTAAAACCTTTGTACAAGCTAGAGCCACTGTTCCTGAAGACTGTGACCTGTTTCGTGTTGGGGCTCATCGAATCACAATGGAGAAGACAAGTGCTTGGCCTCACTGGGGGGGCAAGGGGTGCTGTATGCTTCTGTGGTGACCGTATGCGGGTAAATGGACAAGGTCCGTCCGTCATCTTTAGAGAGACCTGCTTTGTATGCCCCCCAACCCTGCACCCATCTTTAATTTTTCTGTTTTGAATGTACTTTTTTTTTTTTCTTTTAACTAAGGTTGCAGAATCATAACATTTCTTCGGCCTTGGAAACTTAAGTGGGGTGCCCTCAAACGGTCAGTATAAAAGGACTGACTTTATACCTTAGGGAGTCAGCATGCGAGTTGCTGCTTATTTAAATCACAGTCCAGGCGGAGCCCTAAATTGCCAACATCCGCCCTACACTTTCCAGATGCCGCCGCCTTTCTGAACCACCAGGAGGGGGGGCACCTGAGCAGGGAACCTCGGGTGACTTAGTTCAGTTCGCCAGTGCCTATTCTGTTGAAGAACTGGGCTTTCATTCTCGAAGAAGCTCGTGGAAGGGCATGCCGCTTCTCACGGGCTCACACCCTCATTTTCACAGAACTTTCCTTGATGTGACTTAATGCCAAGTAATTAGGAAGATTCTCCCCACCCTGCCCCCCAGTATTGCATGAAGGCTACAATGTTGGAACAAGCCCAAGTACCTGGGTATGAAAGCTTTAATTTATCTACCTCATTTATTTTTTGTTTTTGTAGCCTTAGTCTCTCTTTTTCCTATTTTATGACTGCTGAAGTGTTCCCCGTCTTAAACCTGAGAGTTAATGTAACGGTGGGAGCAGCTGGATGTTCAAGATGTTTTTTTGTAACTTTTTTTTTTTTCACTTTCCTTTTCGTATATGTAATAAGCAAACGAAATGTTGCTTGAACGGTTTAATGTGGAAGGAGAAGGGAAGACCCTGATTTCTGGGTGGAGGAGTCTTTCCCCCTCGATGTGGGAATGCAGGTCACGTCTGTTACCAAAAGTTCGTCTCTGAGTTATTGCTCCTGACTTTAGGATCCAAAAAAAAAATTTTTTTCTTTTTTTTTTTTTTTTTTGCCAAGTTGTGCCTTTCCTTCTGGAATTGTAAGTGAATACAATAATAGTACCTGTTTACACTGTGAAGTGGATATTGTTACAGAGAACACACCAGAGGCTTTCTCACTGTTAAGCCGATAATGCCTTGTGAATGTATGCGATCTACGGAGAGAACCCTGTAGTTTTACCTGCTGATGGCTGACTGTTGGAGAATAAATTTTGGATATTTTTTTTTTCCCCCACCAGGTGTGTATGTAAGTTTTGTTTGGTAGTGTCTGCTCTAAAGTGGAGAAATTTTACTTGACAATTACTTCTAGGGGCCTTGTGGATCTCCCCCCACCCCCAGGTTCTAGAATGGATATGCACATCTGGTTACATCCGTGCCTGACCTGATTCACAAGCACATACGTCATGACGTACTGTCGGGTGTCTTTCCTTTTTAGTAATTCATACAAGTTTTTTTTAGAATAATCTCATTCTAGAGAACGTTTGCTTGTGTTCCCTCGTGACCGTAGAAGGCTTACGCTCTAGGCAACCCCACATCTCAACCCATCCCAACCTACCTGGCTCATGTCACTGGGCAGAGAAACAATTTTTTTTTAACCATCTCATACTTCGGGGCCGTTGAGGGGAATGAATGGGCTGAGGGGTCACATAGGAGGTGGCATTTGACTCCAAGGGAAAATTCTTAGAGTAGTAGAAAAAGTGCTCGTGGAAGAGACACAGGGGCAAGACCAGGTTAATGCCCTACAGGTAAAGTACTCTCTCGCCCACCTTTTGCCGCTTGTCTTTGCGAACCCAACGGCAAAACCCAGCATCGTCATGGATGTGGACGCCACAGCATCCTGGAGTGTGTTCTCTTGATGCCCACCAAAAGCCTGGTGTTGTATTCTGATGGCCTTTGAGCTGACGTGACTTCTGCACGTCCATTTCCCTTGCAAGTGGATGTCGTCATGTCCCCGCCCCCACCCCAAAGAGTGATCTGTCTTAGGCCTCAGCTCATCTAAATTTAGGGTGAAACAGCCACTCACTTTTGAGAGCAAGATTAACCCAATATTTCAGATAACTGAAATGGAAGGACCTAATTTAAGCTAGTATTCCCTGGTCACAAGTGTATAATTTTTACTCTTTCTCTCTTGATACTAATCCACAGTTAAGTTTTAAGTTTTTCACGATTCAGATGTGTGAAAATTAACAATAAAATAATGTTTCCCTCTCTCCAACATACGTTAGACATCTTTCAAGGTAAAACCTGTTTTTGGCTAATCCTTTTTAAGTATCTGCAATCATTTAAAAATGTTAAATTAGCTATTGCTAGACTACGCCAACTTCCCTAGAACTATTAAGTAATTTTGATCATCTGTGACAGTTTCTCTTGCACTCAATTTATGGTAAGTTCCTACTTGAAGGATTGCTAGGAAAAAGATTATGAATGTTTCCGGGTATGTTTGTAGCTTCTGTGTGTTCTATGTGTGTGTCTTTTCTCAGCCCTAATCTTTGAAATCCATTCTTGAAGAGTAGACTGTGATGTGAGCACACCACCATCGTATAGTGAATCATCTGAGTTTATAGAGCACAGGAGGTAAGTCATACACCTGCCACAGAACTTGCTTTTTAACTTAAGACTTACCTGCCTCCTCCTTTCTCTATGGGTTTTGTGTATTCAGAACTCTGTTTCTGATACTTGATGGATGATTTAAGGGAGTCTTGATGTCCTGACTTGAATGCACGGCCAGTTATATATCAATTACATCTCAGTAAAACCCAGGGTAGGGGGGTAAACATCCCCCCCGCCCAGCCCTCTGCCTTCAGCCAGCACCCCCAGAACCCGTTTAAAGATAATTTGTTCTGGGAAAGGAATTGTTTGCATGGTGTAAATGCATTTGGAGAGTGGGCCTTGAGAAAGTGTGGGATGGCCCCTATTCAGGTGGAGAAGTTGCACCTTTTGGCCTAAGCTATTGAAAGTGAGGTCGTGGTATGGGGAAGGAAGGTGGTTGCTCGTTCAGTCATATCTGATGGTGCCAGGTTGACGCAGGTGACAATGTAGCTAAACCACGACAAGGAAGGTGTTGAAATATCTCCATGTTTGCAGGAAGCTTTTCAATAGAGTTTCGGAGGCAGCTTCCACAGCAGCTGTTTACAACTCAGCGGATGGCTTAAGCCCACACAGGAAAGTTAACACATGTGAGCATGTACAGGAAGTCCAGAAACAAATTAGTAGTTAGATGATACAGGTACATTTCAAATTGGGAAAGGATGGGTGCGTGATGAGATAACTGGCCCTTCATTTGGGAAAAAAGTCCCAGGTGAGCACTTTGGCTGGATGCCCTAGGGCAAGATAATGTATGGAAACTCTGATACCTCATCTGCAGAACAAGGATAATATTTGATTCATCGTGATACGGTGAGATTAGATGAGAGCTTGAAAACACAATCTGGGCATAGGAAGCATTCAAATATGGTAGCCATCACTTTCTCCTGTTTGGCTCAAAATCTACAGCGTCTTGTTCGGTTAGACAGAATTTGTCCCAAGTCTGGATCAAGTGGCTTCTTTTGGTTCAGTCTGTTGAGACTGAGGGTGGTGGTCCCCTGAGTCAGGAGGCACCCGGAGTTGGTAGTCCCTTTATCTTGAAGACAGTGTTAGTTTTTTGCAGCTCATCAACCAGGGGATATGGACACAATAGCATATTTCGTCATTCCCTGATTGATTGCTTATAAATATGAAAGTGAAAAAAAAAATGTAGGCTAGGAGGAGTCATTTTTAAGGTGGTTTTCCATGTGTCTTCAAATAAGGTCCCATAAGCAGCAGTATTTCAGCGGGGGCCACCACGTTTCATTGATGCTTTCTTGTGCATTTTTCCACCACGGCCATCGACAAATATCCTAGGTCGTTGGAAACAGGAGATTGGGAATTACAAAATGGCAGAACCCTGCTGGTTCTAGGCCCTCCCTGAGTGTTAGGGAGGCCTGTTTTCAGTCCATCGAAGAGCTGGACTTGGCTAAACCTGTGTTTCTGATGTATTGATTGTAAGTTCAGATCTAAACACTACAGCTAATTCACACCTTTGCTTTCTTCTCTCCTTGATGTCATTTATTTTGTGGATTTTATGTCTTATGTATTCATTTAAAGGGAGCTGTTTTTTCAGCAGAGGAAGCGTATCCTTGTGGAGTCATGATCCTAGGTCCTATCAGTTTTCCCAGTTCTGTTATTTCCAAACAAAATGAGCACTTAAATAGGGAATGCTCATGTCTTGTCTTTTTTTTAAATTTATTGTTACTTATACATAACAAATATATCTCTGGCCGCTTAAGTTACAGGTAGTACATTACTCATGAATGGCAGAGTATATCCATTATTTACCTTTCCAAAGTATCTAAAAGTGAACGAAGCTTGTATTGGGCACAAGAGAGTATCAAGCTAAAAAGGGAATTATTTAAGAAGCTGGGAAATGTGTGAATACGAAACTAAAGTACATTTTGCCATAAAATGTAACTTAAAAGTAGCAGGAACCCAAATATGAATTATGATTAGGTAGAATTTGTATTTTATAAAATTGAGGTATATTTGACATATAACTTACTAGTCACAGTGCAACATGATGATTTAGGATTTATATGCATTTCGAAATGATCACGGTGAGTTAGGAACGCCCATTTCTGTTTAAAGAAAATGGGTTGGCCTTGAAAGCTATCAAAGTCCTAATAAGCCCAAAGAAGCAATCTTTGGTCATGTATGGCTATTGTCTAGGGATTTATGTTCATGGTACCCATGAAAATTCAGACTTTTGCTTTAAAACGAAAGGAAACACACAACGAGAACAAAACCCGCAGGTCCTTATCACTTTGCTGTAAGGAATTCCAAGTATTTCTAAATATCAAAAGAAAAGTGGAACATGAGTGAAACTAGGCTAAAATGAGAATAGGAAGTAAATGTTCCTCCTAAGTAGGCTTCACAATGCAGACGGTAGGAACTTGCAAACATGTGGGAAGAAAGCTTCGAGCTCTGTATGTAAAGTCTGAAGGACATTTGAAAGTGACTTTCCTGGGAGAAGGATGAACTTTCCAAATGACTTGCATTTCTTCCCTTTTGTTCTCCCTGCCATTTTCCACCCTCCAGCCCTTGGTAAACAACCTATTGTTTTAAGTAAAGAAGCCATAAATGGAAAGGGATACTAGTTAGTGTTCTAAAGACTAAGGCATGAAACAGGATGTAAAGGTTTATTTTATCCTGATGGGGTTGGGGGGGAGGTTCCTTAAATTAAAAGCAGTTAAACAAATGGCCTTCCGTATCTGGTGGTAAAACTGTAGGTATACTTGGTGTCGAAGCAGTTTTTCCCCTTCTGTTCACATAAATCAGTTCATTTTCCTTTTTCGCAATGTTTGTTGACTGTGACGGCTTTTCGGCCATCCTGAAATTGTTTTCACTGACCTCCCTAAATGTCGTGATTAAATTGTCGTGTCAAAGACCGATTCTGTCTTCGTTTTCTCATATGGTGAAGATCATAGAGGTGGGTAAAGAAGAAGCTAACGGAATTTAAGCTTGCATTAAAGCCCGAGAAATTCTTCAAAAATCGGGCCATGAGAGGGAACTGCTTAGGCTTGCCAACTTTTTATTTTTAGCAAGTAAGGATGATGAACAATAGCCCAACAAACCTCTCGCACATTACCCTGCTTTAATATCCACATGCCATTCTGCACTCTAAATCTTCACTTGTTTACTTTCTGTCTGCCCTGTTAAAATACAATCCTTAAGAAAGAGAACATCATGGCTCCAACAGATATAAAGTGAACACGTGTTAAAGATTTTATTAACAGATTTACAACTGATTCAAAGGAGAACGGAAAGAACAACCAAATTCTAGGCAATCGGGAATGTTGAAGTGAATTTGCAAATAGACACGAGTCATGGTCAATATCCACAGGGCAATAATACACTACAAACATTTGCATTTCTATGGACAAGAGTCATTTGTATGGCTCAGTTTCCCCTACCTTACGGAACTGTAAAATTGAGGCTCAGAGACGATGAAAGGCACCTGTACCCTGGAAGAGAGGGCTAAACTGGTCACCCAGACATCTTCTTTGACCATTTCAAAGTCTTCTACAAACAGGAACCAAAACAGACCTAGACACTAGAAAGCGAGGATTGTGTTTGTCTTGTGAACTGTATCCCTGGTGCCTGGAACATTGTAAATTCTCAGGGAAAATTACATGAATGAATGATTGAATGTTCCATGGAATTTCCCCTAAACTCTCTAGTGTCTTTTTGGAGGTAAAAATAGAGTGCTATCCATACACACACAATATTATTAAATGCTAGCGAAATATGGTTGCTTGTGGAACGCTCTTTTGGGAAACCAAAAGGCGGGTGGGGCGGGGAGGAAGAGGTTAGTGTTAGAGACACTTCCTTCCTAGGGCTTTAAAAATTATTTAACATTGGCATCCTAGCCCAGTGGGTCTCAAGCAGGGACAGTTGTGGCCTCCAGGAAACATTTTGCAACATCTGAAGACATCACTAGGATAATGTGGAGGGGCTGCTACCGGCATCTAGTGGATAGAGACCAAGGTCGCTGCTAAACACCCTACGGTGCACAGGACAGGCCCCTGCCCGCCCCCCGCCCCGCCCAATAAGGAAACATTCAGCTCAAATGTCAATAGTGCCAAGGTTGACTACCTAGAGCTTTCATTCAGAGAGAAGATTCTAGACACCAAAAGGACTTCATTTCTTCTCTCCCTAGCTTGAGTTTACTCCAAACCTTCTTATTAATTCTGAATTCCCGTTTTTCGTGCCTCCATTTTGTCCCAGCCAGTGTCCTTGACTTCTTGTCCACTTAACCGCCAACGCTCCCTAAATAGCAGCAGCCAGATTGAAGAACTATGAAAATAAGGCTAAACACTGAGAGTCTCAAAATAGATTATGACCTGGGTCTACTGTCTGTTGGTGAGATTGGGTGACGTCCGTGGGCCTCGGGTCCTCTGATTTCTGGAAAGCAGCGGCTGAACTATGTGGCTGAACTATGTCAGCTTCTCTCTCAAAGACTTCCCACTCCAAGTGTCTAGGTGTCAGCAGCTAGTCGTCCCCAGGGCATGGTGGACAGGGAGGACTGTCGAGGGCCACCGAAAGGGGTTGCTCCTCAGAAAGCAGAACCCTGAGGCGGCCATTTCCAGGCCCATGGGGAGGAGGCAGGGCTGGGCCCGGAAGTGGGGTGCCAGGCCCCCCCGAGTGGGATCTAGTGTCCCCCTCATCCCATCACTGCCCCTGCCCTGCTCCTCCTGGATGCCGATGCTGCACGTCACGCAAGCATCTGATCTCTGGAGATGAGATAAAGCCTTGAAGTGACTCTTCCCAAGGGACCGCCTTGCTGGAAGGGAGTCTTAAAAGCGTCTTCTCCAATGGGTGATGATTAAAGTGCACTGAAGAAAATTTGGAAAATGCGAAGGCAATAAAAAATCACCCCTCTCTTTTCATAAGGGAATGTTATTTTGGAGATGAAGAAGGGTCTCTTGGTCTTTAAAGTATTTAAAGGAAAATATTATTGGAAAAGTGACACATGTTCACTAGAAAAAAAGAAAATATAGATAAAACAAGAACATTTGAAGATCTAGCTAGATGTAGCACACCAATGCACACGTTTTTAATAAAGGGAATGGCTGAGTTTGAGGTGGGGGCTGGGTATGAGGTGGGTGTATGGAGCTGTGTACCATCTGCTCAAGATTTCTGTAAGTGAAAAACTACTAACAGGGAATGGCTGAGTTTGAGGTGGGGGCTGGGTATGGGGCGGGTGTATGGAGCTGTGTACCATCTGCTCAGGATTTCTGTAAGTGAAAAACTACTA